CTTGGAGCCTTGTAGGATTAATGAGGCATGCCATGCGTGTTTGTTGGTTTTTTGTTTATGAAATGAATTTGGGCCTAACACATTGATACTGGCACCCCCACACTTTTTGTCCAGATGTGCTTCAACACTATTTTCAATTCATTTTGGATTCTGCTACTACACCCCCTTGCCATTTGAGTTTTATTTTATTTTCTTTTTCTTCTTCTCTCATTTTTATTTTATTTTTAATATTCCAAATCACCCAAAAAATTAATAAAAATTTGTTTTAGGTATTTTAATGTCTTAAAAATTTTATCATAATTTTTATTTTATTTTTACATTTTTTTCTATTTTGTTTTGAATTTATTTGTAAGGTTGTTGTTACATGTTTACCCTTGGATTATGGTTTGTGCTTTAATGCCTTTGAGACCTATTCTTGAGCCTTGCTTTTCACCATATTTTGACACATGATTGCTTGACGTTTAAGTGGTTTTTTGTGCCTTGATGATGCTTGTTTGATTACTTTCCATGTGATTTAATTTGAGCCTCGATTCATGCTCGATTGTTGAACATCCTTGTGCTTGTTGATTTTATTTGATGGTGCACTTGTGCAATTATTTTGAGGATCCTTTTCTCACATTTTACTAGATGTCTTAGAATGAGATAGAGCCTTGTGTCCATATTTGTTTGATTGTCTAAGTGCTTTAGATTGATGTGTCTTTGTGATGTTTCTTTAAGATGAAGCATGCTTACTTTTGACCTAGTTCTTGAACTTGTGTTCTTGTATGAATCCATTTGATATTTGATGATCTCAATTAACATGAAAATCTATGTTTAAGCTTCTGATTTCTTTTAAATCATTGTGTATTGCTTGCCTTTTGAACTCTTTTGCTTGTATGTGGATGTTTGAATCTTTTTAAGGTTGATGAGGAACGATGCATGCCTATTTCTTTGCTCATGTTTTGAGGATGATTCATATGGAACTTATTTTATGTCTTGGTGTTGAATATGCATTAAAATGCTTGCGTTTTCTTCTGACCTCTAATGTTCACATGCTCTAATTACATAAGCTCGACCATTGTCGCTTTGTTTTCATGAGATAAATGTTTGCATGTGTCTAATCTTTGCTTGGAATTTTGATGAAAGCTCTTGTGCATCTTTATTCATCTTTGAAATGTGTGGACCATGAGATGATTTAGGTTCTTACCTTGACTTTTTTCCATTTTGCTTGATTCACTTTATCTTGGTTTGTCCATTATTGATATGTGGTTAATTTCTCAAAGTCTGTATGCTTGTACACTATTGGTTTGACTTTACCTAAATGCCTGAGTTTGTTGTGTGACTTCTTTAGGCATGTTTAGATGATTTGAATATGCATGAGTATTCACTTGTATATCTCTTGTTTGTTTTGATTCAAGTTTGAAACATTTTTTTGTCTTGCATACTTGCTTGTTTATTCCTATTTGGTTTGGTTCAGTCTTTTTTGCTTTGGTTGCTTGAAATGAATTCTTGTTGACTTATTTCTTCCATACTTGATGCATTTCTCTTACCTCCTTCATACTTTACATCTCATTTCCCCCCTTGGTGGACATTATGTATCCCTCCCCTCCATTACAATGTAATAGTTTAGTTCCTTTTGTTTATGCTTGTTTGTTGCTTGTTAAGAAAGATATAAATGAACTAGGTTAGAACACCATTGCAAAATAAAGAACAAATAAGGCTTAATCTAACGTCAAGTCATTTTTCAAACTCATTAATTTGGTTTGCACCTTAGGGTTTCTTTTCTCTTTTTCTCTCTTCTCTTATCTCTTCTATTTAAACCCCACATTAACTTTGTATGTATTTCACCTTTGTAAGTCGATTACTTTATGCATCTCCATCAACCTACCTTGATCTATTCACCACCCTTTCTTTTCAAAACCTTTTCTCTCTTTCTTTTGTTTCCTTGAGTCTAAAAACCATGGTCTTATACCAAGTGCATTTTCAAAAAAATTCTCAATAAACTTGGATGGTTATGGAGTGGTTAGGCGAATGCCTTCTCCTATCCCGAGTGCTTGACACTACCTTTAGGGTTCATTGTCATAAAACAATTACCGTTCAAAAATAAAGCATCTCCTAAATAAGAGAATAAGGTTCTCTTTGTATTGAATTAAAGGGAGAGGATTGAGTGAAGACTTCTTCCTCTCCGAGTATTAGGATGCTCACTTTAGAGTGTGTGGTCTCAATACTCATCTTTCAATACGAAGACGTGACTATGTCCGCCACACTGTTTCACAATAAATCTTTTGAGATAAAGAATTGGGTACTACCCACAAGGGGTTATTATCCGAGGACTTATCTCACCCCTAAAATCAACCTTCAACAAATCAAATGTGACATCTTGCCTTAATGGCGAAAACTAATCCACTTTAAAAAAGGGCATGTTATGTTCGTTCTACCGCAAACAAGTAACGCATAAGTCTCCACGAGTGAACTGCAAAACACCTAACCTAACTGCTAGAATGCGTACATTAATATCGTCCATAAAAAACACCAATAAACCATAGTCACGAACTACAAACGCTTTGATTCTTCACTTCTTTTAAGCGAAGATACGTAGGCACAAGGGCCTAAATCCTTGGCGAGTACCCTTCCATTTTTCTCCACCCGTAGTTCTCCAAACTATGTTGACTCTGACTTTCCCATTGCATGAGAGAATACCTAGGCATAGGACTGTAAAGTCCTATCGAGTCTCCTTTTTGTTTCACCTTTTCTTTTCCTTTTTCCTTTATTCTTTTCTTTATCTTTGTTTCCAACCCTTCTCTTTACCTCTTAGAACACCCTTAGCCAGCAATATCTTTAGCAAACATCCTTACACATAAGACAAGCAAATGGTTCTCATCGAGTACGATGGATGTGAGGGGGTGCTAATACCTTCGCTTTGCATAACCAGCTTCTGAACCCATAATTTGGTTGCGAGACCATCTTATCCTTTTTCTTCTTAGAGGTTTCTCGATGTTTTCGCTTCCCCTTTTGGGATAAATAAAGTTTGATGGCGACTCTCTGTTTTCCTTTTTTGCCTTGACATTGTTGCATTTTTTCGAGTAGCGACAACAAGTAATATACAACGACACGCTACATAACAACGCCTGGTCCCACGTTGTTATATATCTTTCCCAACCATTGTTAAATGCATTTTCCGTAGTAGTGGAATGAATGTGTATTGATTTGACAAGATACAGTTTCTTGAAAACATTTTTCCACTGCACACTGACCAACCTCCAAATCCAAATGATCGTATTATGTGTATTAGGTGGCTTTCAAAACGTGATACCTTGTTCAAGTTTATTTGAAATTGGGTTACCCTATACCACTAATATCACCAGAGTGGACAACTCATTCATCAAAGAAAATTGAGACTTGGTCAGATTATTTTTTGGAAAGGACACAAGAGTTCACCAAGTTGAGTGAGATTGAAAGAGAATCACACATACAAATTTCAAAGGTTGTACCATCCATAAATATAGATTTAGCCAATGACACGTGTTTCGATACATTTTAGTTTTTAGTCAACAATGTATTTATGTAGTTAAACACGTTTTGTATATAATCTTGTATTAATACTAATGATGTTTATTATATACATTTTCAAATATTTTAATACGTGTTTTAAGTTTCCATAAAATTTGTCTATTTCGATACAGGTTTTGTTTCTGTCTGTTTCTAAATTTATTATGTGTTGGGTGGTTTCGGAAATACATCTCCATAATAACATAATAGAATGCTCCTCGCTCGACCCCCCACCCCCTCCCGATTGTTGCGCCAACAAATAGTATCAGAGCCTGGTTCGAGAAAGGGACCAACTTACTTGTATCGAAAGTATCCCCGCATGTGGTGGGTTGAGTGTCCCGTTGAAGAGTGTCAACGACGGTACAAGTGTATGTTGAATTCCACTTGAGGGAGAGCGTTGTGGTAGACTCACACTTGAGGTGGAGTATTGAAAAAGAATTACAAGTGTGAGTAGTGTGGATAATGACCCCACATTGTATAGAAATGTGATGACTTGAACATTTATAAGTGAGAGAACCTACCAACCTATCGCCTTAAAGTTTTGGGTGAATATGTGGCGTGTCTCTCACAAATGTGTGTTGCTCTAAGAAAGATGTCTCACCGTTTAGAATGCTCCTTGCTCGACCCTCCGATTATCGCGTCAATAAGAATATCTATCTGAATGTTGAAATGTAATGTTTAATTTATGTTAACAAATATCTATGTAATGTTTTGTTTTTTATATAATCAATCACATAATTAAGACGTGACTCAAAATCATCATAAATTATATATGTTTGAGGTACATCCGAATATATTTCTCAAAAATCTAAAAATATTTTAAATTTTTAACATAAGTGTGGTAGCAATTATTAGAGTGTTTTAGAGTGTTTAAGCAATTCTCTTAAATTATATGACTTGAAATACTATCACTATAAATTAATTTTTTATCTAAAAAAATTGCCCGTGTTTACGTCAAGGAGAGTGATCAAGTCTTATGAAATTGAAATAACAAAGAATACAGTGAATTAAACTTCTGAATTTGGTAGTAATAAGTACTTATTTATTTCTACACGAACTCTTCTACCCAACCCAACCATTCCATAAAAGGAAAGACATCCCCAAATTCAGCTTTTCAAAGCGTCTATTATGAATCTATCATAGTATATATGATATTGCAATCTACAAGTGCCACCATACCCAATCCTCTAGTTTCCTCACACCTCAAAACACTATTCAATTCAATAAACTACTATTTCATTTTCCTTACTTTCAGTTCGCCTCATAGGCTATGCATCACGTAAATGCAGTATAATGCAGTATTATAGTAGTAGTAGTAATAATCATATAATAATTTATTTAATAAAATAGGTTACAAAAATAGAGTAGCTTAAATAAATTTACACATGAATATACGTCACCCGCCTTTTTATTTTAAAACTCTCAAACCACCGACCGTACACGTGGCGCAAAAATCGGCCATACTAAATCTCTTAAAAGTAATCAAACGACGAAGCAGGGTGCTGTCTACTGGAACTTCTGTTACCGTTACAATCTTTCCCGGAGACAAAAGGCGTCGTTTTGTACCTTCTCAAACCAGGAACTTCCGGCGGCGTTACCATCCGTATCAACGCCAAGTTAAGCCCAACAAAAAACGGATGCATCTTAACGTCAGCAGCGCCCCGCTTCGACCCAAGTCTACGGCTCGGGTCTTTATTAAGCAAACCCGAAACAAGATCCCGCGCGTGCATTTCAAGCGTACTGGAAGGCGTAACAGTAGGAAAACTAAGAGGCTTTTTTATAATGTTGCGCAAAGTTGCTTCATTCGATGGACCCGCAAACGGCGTTCTTCCGTACACCATCTCGTAGATGAATATCCCAAACGACCACCAATCCACAGCGTTACCGTGAGAGTTTCCAGAAGCTACTTCCGGTGAAACGTACTCGTGTGTCCCAACGAACGAACAAGACCGTGCTTCAACCGGTTCAGCAACGAAGAGCCGGTTCGATTGGAATGTTTGAACCTTTCTGGACCGGAAAAGCCGCTTCGAGAGGCACTTAAAAGGAGAAGAAATGGAATGCGGACGGGTGCAGGATACATCCGGTGGATCGTCTGGAGATAACTCAACGGCTGGGATTGCGTGGGAGCAAAGAGATAGATCGAAATCCGAGAGCATGATGTGACCGTCTGATCTGACTAACACGTTTTCCGGTTTTAGATCTCTGTAGATTATTCCTAGCATGTGCAGATACTCCAATGCTACAAGTACCTCAGCCGCGTAAAACCTGTAACAATAGTTAAAGAGTAATTATTAATTTATTTATTTTGTATATTGACTTTATTTATTCATCATTTTCCGTAAAATTAAATAAAAATAAAAAAGGAAGTGGTCGTTACCGTGCTGAGGAGAGAGAGAAACGGTTACGAGGGTGACGGTGACGGAGAGAATGCAAGTCTCCGCCGGAGCAAAACTCCATTACAATGCAAGAGAAATTAGAAGCTTCGAACTCCGCGTAGAGACTAGGGAGAAAAGGATGATCAAGCATCTTGAGAATCTTTCTCTCCATTTCTGCTCTGTGTGACTTTTTCTTGAGAGCAACAGCGTCTTTGTCAACAACCTTCATGGCGTAGTAGAACGAACTGTCCTCGTCGTTGATATAGTTTACGGAGGAGTCACGTAAACGACAGAGATATACAGTCCCTATGTCACCGGAGCCTATACGGCGGAGAAGGTGGAAATCACGGAAGGTGAGACCGGATTTGCGGATGGCGGAGTAGGCGAAATCTGAGGAACGGTGAGGTTTGATGGAGAGACTCTCCGGTGAGCATGACGGAAGGAGTTCGAAAGAGAGACGGCTGAAACTTGTACTGCAAATGCTTTCAGTGGCGCTGCTTAAAGAAGTTCTCTGTGTATTGGAATTAACTGTTTCTAAACTCATCCCAGAATCACGATCACTACCACTCTCTAACATGATGGAAAAATACTAACAACAAAAATTACCATATAATATATTCAATGAAGATTTTTTGTCTGTCGAGAGAAGAAAGAAACAGTGATATGAATTGAAAATTGAATGCTCTGAGAGAAAGTGCTAAGTAGTTTGTAATGGAAAGAAGAGGGTGGTTGTGTGTATTTATTTATATTGAAGAGGTAAAATGAAGTGGTTTGCTTATGAAAGAGGCACGTGAGAGGGTGAATATAGGCACGTGAGAGGTTTTAAGGGGGGCATGATCACGTGGCAGAGATTGGTTAGATTAAGCTATAAGAGATGAGTGGGGCTGGGCGTGCGGTGCTGATGCATGATGCATCCATTAGGTTTTCTTTTCTTGTAGTTGTAGTCAATTTCCTGTGGTTTTTTACAGAGTAGAGTAGAAAAATAGAATGACAGAAACGAAGTAATTAACTCGTGTGTTTACCAAAAGATACAGTGGTCGAGACTATTTTCTGTACGAACCCAAATATTTGGATCATATTGATCCACGATTTTGTGTTTTTTGTAAAATTGTGAACGTGTGGAGTATAGTTTGCAAATAATATCTAACATTACAACAAATTAATGAGCATTTAATTATATATGCTTGTGACATTTTTCAAATTTATAGGTACTAGTGATAGTCAAAAAATAATATGTCTTGAGTACTTAATTAGTCATCAATCTAGTTCTAAATTAACAGGGTACAGGTAACCGTTTTTTAAGTGGGTGAGATAATTCTGTTCGAGTAACTTTATGTAAAAAAGTAGTTACGAGAGAGTTGGAAACATCTTTATCTAAGGTATGGACCATATAGTGCAGAGAGAGAGAAATAAAACTTTAATAAACGTCTGGTTTCAGAAAATAATGGAGAAAATATGTCAACTGTACACGGAGCTTGCATGAGTCGATCAGTCACGTAGTACTGTTAGAAGTGGTCACCATTTTTAAGCTCCTCGGATTTATAAAATGTAAGTATGCGTAGCGTGTGTTCATTTTTGAACTGAAATTGTAGTGGTTTTCTTGATCCTAATTTATAATTATTTTATTTTTTTGTGTTTTAAATTATTTATAAATAATAAATTTTTGTTTTATTTAATTATCATATTTCAAAAAATATTTTTTTCAAATTGAAATTGAATATAATTTATATTTAATTAATTTTTTTCATTTTTTTATAGAATTAATAACCAATTAAAATTATTCTAAATATTCCTATAAAAGTTATTATATTGAAAAAAACAAAAACTTTCTTTTTTTTTGCGTTTTTTAATGAAAGTGATTTTTTTATTTATATTATTGATAACACTTAGTTCAATTTCGATTGCAAAATTGTGAATGGGAGCAGGGATGGCAGGCGGGCATGTCTCTTTCATTAATGCTCACTTTCGTAAAAGTCCATAAAAATGGAGTGTCGCGAACATAGTTAAGATTACATATCTAAAACTTTGGTCAATTTCACAAAAAAATGGGGTGGATTTGAGAGGGCTTGCAGGATAGTGCATATTTTTAATTTTAAAATAAAATAAAAAAAATAGATAAATATTTGTGTATGTAAAGTTTTCACACAAAAAAAAAAAAACAAGCGTGGAGCGAGACAGACATATTTAAAGATGAGGGTCTAAAACCTTGATCTGCCACACAAAAATGCGGGCAAATAGGACATATTTGGCAGGCCATTTGCATTTTGCCACCCTTAATTGGGAATGAAATTGAGTCGTCACTCCCGAATTGAATTCTCTCAATCAACTTAACTAAACCTTTAGTTCAAAAACTTCTCCCTCATTTTACCAACCAAGTAGTCCATTTCTATAATTAGTCTATTTCTATATCGGTGAATTGATTTTAGTTTGTATATTCATTGGCCTAAGCTGAAATGTTTGCTATAAGTATATACATCCAGTCACTTCTCAAAGAATTACCAAAAACTTCATATTTTTATTCTCTCTATTCTCTTTTGTGCTTTGAGTTATCAGAGTCTCTTCTTCTCTTTCTACTCATTGAGTTTTAAAAGCATTATTTTGAAATTATCTTTGGAGAATAGTTGTCTTTCGAGAAATTTATCTTTTTGCCGATACTTGTTATTAACTATTCTGTATGGTCATTATACTTAAGTCATCATCTGATTTCTCTGGTCAACTTCAAGGTTTAAGTCAAGGTTTTGATCCTCCGGTAGAAGATCAAATTTCTATCTTATCTAAGCTTTTTTCTTTGTCAATTATCACTAAATTTATTTTTGGAAAGAACAAACTTAGTTGTTTTCCATCTCAATTTCTAAATTTGGAACAACTAAGAAATAGTACACAAAGTACAATGATACAAACTTTATGCGACAATTGGTACAATGTCATATGCGAGATTCTCCATTATGAGTACAAAGGACGTGAAATAGCATGTTGTAATTGTATAAAAATCACAAAGGTTCATTTATCAAAAGATCAAGTTCATCTAACAATCGGAAAAAAGAGTTATATAAATACTCAACTTCTCAGTATTTTATTCATTGCCATGTATCACGACAAATCAAACTCAACAAATTTGACATAAATAGGTGAATAAACTATAGCGAATGAACTTGAGAAAAAATAACTTCAATAGAATAAAACATCTAGAGAATATATTCTAAAAAAAGAAAGAAAGAAATAATCAAGCGGTTGATTTTATTGTATATAGATTCAACCACTTGCACTTATGCTTATAATTGATTAAACCCTCTTTTGAGTGACATTTAGAAACACTCCAACAATAATCAATTTACTTAATTGTAATTTTTCAAAGGGCAAATTATTATTAAGATTCTTTGAGACAAAAAAGAGATTTAGTCGGAATCATTTCTTTACCTTTGAAATTTAAGATATAGGTATGTGGTGCTAGACAATATTTTAGTGATGTTATAATATATTTGATTATAGTAAACTTTTCTCTGTGTGGGACCTATTGCAACGCTGAGTTAAGGGGGTGAACCTCAATAAACTATATGTATTTAATCTTTCATCCTTTATCTTCTTATTATCAACACTTGTGATTGACTTAAGTTTCATTTGAAAGAACTCAAAAAAATTTAAATCAGTCAACATAATCCAAACCCACAACTTCTTGTGTTTTTCTCTTTTTCAATTTGAGGACGTATTCTAAATGGTGTCTACATTGCAGTAGGATACCACACAATTTGACTAACATGTTTTATCCTGGGGACTTTGTGGTCGAGATTTTGCTTGTATAATTTTGGGTAGTTCCCAAAAAAAAATCTTAAAGATACTATTTAAAGGAAGTTACTTTAAACAAGGACGTCAAAATATATTATGTTTTTTGTAATAATGAAAAATATTGTCTCTATCTTGACTAAGGATATGCCAGTCGTGAATAAAATGATAAGTCCAATATACGGATGACACTTTAATTTTGGGTAAGGTCTGATGGGAAAATATTTGGGCCATTAAATGTGCATTATGTGGGTTTGAAATGGTTTCGGTTTTACACATCAATTTCAACAAAAGCAAGATTTTTGGTATCAATATCAGTCCCGATTTTTTGCAAGCGGATTCAGATTTTCTTGCTTGTGGGGTTTACTCTTTACCTTTCTCCTACCTTGGTATTCTGATTGGCGCTAACCTCCATAGATGCACAACTTGGGATCCAATCTTGGTAAGGATTCATAATAAGCTGAATATGTGAAAAGGTAAAAGAATTTATTTAGCTAGTAGAGTAACTCTCATAAATTCAGGTTCAAGCACGTATGTGTGATTTCTGTGGAGGTGAACATGTGAATGGAAGGTGTTCGTTGGAAGGGACAAGTGAGGAGGTTCAATTTGCAAAGTTTCAAAAGAACAACCCTTACTCAAACACATAAATTTGGGGTGGAAAGATAACCCAAATTTCTGCTGGAGCAATAATTAGAATCTCAATGTAAACCAATAAATGCCACAAAGCTAACAAGTTTTGTTTCAAAGGAAGGTATCACAGTTGGAAGAGACTTTGCATAATTTAAAGTCACCCAAAGTAGCTTTTATCAGATAAATAAAAACCATGAGGAAATGAGTAGAAATCAGGATGAGTCTATGTAAAATATAGAGATAATGATTGGTCAGCTATATAGACAAATAGCAAGTTTTCCTAGCTTGAGTGGAGGATTCACGGGTAACACTATAGACAATCCTAAGAATGAAACTTCCAAGGTCATGGATACAAGTTCAAAGGTACTTACTGCACAAGGTAACAAAAAGACATTTCAAGAAGGTGTGATTGAAAGATAAGGGAATGGGAATCAAGGTGATGAAGAAGAAAGAGGAGTCACCCTTGATCCCTTCATTGATAAAAATTCTCCTTGGAGAAGAGAGAAGAAGCAAATCCTGACCGAATAAATCCCCCCTTTACCGGATTACATTAAACCACTTTTCCCTATAATTAAAAAAACCCGGTTTTAAGAGGATGAAGCAACGATGTTTGCAAAGATCAAGGAAATGCTACCTACTCTCCAGGTAAGTATTTCGTTCTATGAAATTTTAGAACTGATTCCTAAATGTGTTAAATTTATGAGGTATTGTTAAAAGGGACAAAATTGAAAGTATGTAAGAAACATGTAAACATGACTGAAAAAAAGGAAGTGGTAAGATCTCAAGTGTTGCCACCAAAATTAAAAGATCCAGGTAAGTTTACTATTTCTTGCAATATCGGTGAGGTGAATATCCCATATGCTCTATGTGATCTTGGATCTAACATAAATGTCATGCCACTAAAAACGATAAAAGATTTAAATATGGGTGAGATCAGACCTAGTAATATGACTCTCACTCTAGCTAACTCATTTGTTACTCAACTGGTTGGTATTTTGCGTGACGTGTTAGTACATGTTGAAGGAGTGGCATTTCCTGCCGATTTTGTAGTATTGGATACAATGGGGGGGGGGGGGGGGGTTTCAAGAGGATATCTTATTCTCAAACGACCATTCTTGGCAATCGGGAAATCAAAGATTGATGTAGAAATTGGTAAGCCTATATTGA